GCCACGCCCCGCCACGCCCCGCCACGCCCCACCACGCCCCCACACGGCGCGGTGCACCGCAAGCCACAAACTCTTATATCCTCCCGCGTCTCATGGAAGCTGGGCGGCGGCGACACCGCGCCGCGGCCCACACCCGTCCACCCGTCGCGCGGCGGGGAATAGAGCGATTAGAGGAGGAAATGGAGAAAATGAGACTTAAAACGGAATAGGTCCGCCAGGTCGCCGCCGACCTCATAATTACGACGTATTCGGACTCCGAATTTCGGAGGTGCGCGCGGCGCCGCCGGCCGCCGGGGGAGAGAGCAGGTGCCTCGGCCGGCGCGCCGACCAGCACGCCGCCGGTGGACGCAGGGGACACGTGGGAACTCTCACACTTCGACAAAGGCTTTCCGAAGATAACTTGGCGGCGAACATACTTTTTATTATAGCGACAACTTGGCGGCAAATACGAATTTTACAACGACAACTTACAACTCATTGGCGGGATGAAGTCCCTCGCTATATCGCTCACACGACGAGCAGCGCACACTTTTGCAGGTGTCGATTACGAACCGATCGCGATGATAGTCTCTGTTCCCAGACCGTATCGTCGGCGTCCCCGACAATGCGTCGCGCGGCACGCGGATGTCGTCGTCGGCGTCCTCCTCGCGGGGACGGGGGGCGGCGCCGGGCGGGCGCGCCGCGGCTGCACCGCACCGAGGCCCGCGGCGGCCACGACTGCATGTGTGCGAGAGCGAAAGTCCGATAGTGGCGTGGCGCGGCGTGGCGAAGCACCGCGACGTACAGCAAAGCACCGCAAAGTATAGCGAAGAACCGCGACAAGAAGAAGGCCCCTCCACTGGTAAACGCAGCTCGTGTAGTGTGTTGTTTTTGTCAAGCAGCAGGGCCCCGAGTGGCAAAGGACGACGCCCTCCTCCACCCGGAACAATGCGGTTTTCCTTTCTAAGCACGGTGTCACTGAGAGCACGGACAAAAATTCTTAAATGAGTCGAGGTGTATTTGCCCGTCACTGTTTATCCAGTTATGATGGTGTGTTTTGAACTACCTATTGTCCTGTAGAATGACAAACGAAGCATTTCATGCAGAAAATCGCTACTTTAACGAGAAAGATACTTTATTTGCGATTTCTACAACCTTACAAATTTCATTGTTAGCTAAAGCAAATTCTTTGTTCCAACGATATTTTCGTTGGTTTTCTGAAAAGCCACTTGATTTCGCTCCCAGAGAGAAACTACTGGCTGAGTCTGGAACAGAAAGTCTCTTGCGTTTATTGGTGAGACACAACTTGTCATCAGTCGCCCACAGGCGTGTGTGTGTGTGTGCGACACGGAGAGAGTGAGTGAGAAGGAGAGAGAGATAGGAGGGGGAGGAGGCGGTGGTCCAGCTCGACTCGGCGGGCTGCTGCTGGGCATCCCGAGGTGTTGCACCGGCTGGAGGCATTGTTGGCGCCTGGCCCATTGTTGTCTAATGCACTTGCAGCCCCCGCGCCACCCGCCGGACATTGGGGAAGGGGGGGGGGATTTCAAGGTCCCGCGAGGATTCAGTCACCCACATGTCAGTAGTCACACGCAACCCACATACACCAGGCAATATTTTCCGCTTAGTGTCGAAGTCCTCACGGGTCCTGCGAGCAGCAGGGCGTGGAGATACAGACGGGGGAGGGGGAAGGGGGGGCAATGCGACAAGCCTTTTGTAGCCCAACAAGCAGGCAGTTTAGTCGCTCCATTTACCCGCACCATTGACGGCCGCTCGTCGCGCGCCTCCGGTGCCGCCATTCAGCATTCAGCTGGGCGTTATCTCCTCCGAGGGGAAAGCATTCCCCCGTCAATGACTCTCGATGAAGCCGTCCTCGACCCTCGAGCGCTTTTTATTTTCACCGTGTCACTCGTGCGGGTTTGTCTTTTCTCCCGCCCCGCCCCTCCCGCCCCCCGCCCGCAGTGAATGTGTGCTCTTCTACTAGACTCGCCCTTCCCCCATACCCCGCGTGGCCGTGCCTATAGAGAGCTATCTCTCGACGTGTCCAAAAGGACGTCGCACGAGCGATATTGGCGATCCTGTTATGGGAAGCAGCCTCTGGGCGGGTGTGGGGTGGTACTAAAGGCCGCGAGGCGAGGTGAGGCCAGCAGCAGGCACTTGGGAAGAAAATCGCTCATGCGAGTCGTCCAGAATAAGAAGTGTGAATTGCGGAATACGGACTATGTGCGCTAAAGTCAGGCAGCGCGCGCCGCCTAGGACAGCTGATCTTACAAGGGAACCTTTTCAGGTGTAAATCTCCGATTTCTCGTTGGAACTCGTAAAATTTAAAGGTTATCCTAGAAGTCGGATGGCATTTGAAAATTTTCCTAAACTGAACATTTACTAGGGGTTAAATTAAGCCTTAACAGCTCAAAATAGAGCAAAACGGACAAAATTTTGGTGGAAAGAGCACTACTATGACGAACTACCCTTAAGAACACTGCTTTACATTTTATTAAAACTATCTATTTTTAACACTCTACTCCTACCCTATATAGGAGAAAACTTATTGTGAGGTTTAGGAAAATTTTAAGTGCCATCCGATTTCTACATAAATAACCTTCAAATTTTTCAAGTTTCAACGAAATCGGAGATTTATACACCTGAAAAGGTTCCCTGGTTAGTGTGCGGCGTGCGAGTGTGAGGCAGTGCAGCCGCCCCGAGAAACCAGCTGAACTAGGAACTAGGGCGCCTAAGTGTATGGCGCGCAAACACAGGTGGCGGCCCCGGCCGGCATTTAAGGTCCGGCAGCGCCAAACGGCAGCAGACAAACGGTAGCTCAGTTTTGTGACAGATTCCCTCACTCGCACCAATGCCGCACGCACGAGAGTCCTCGCGCTCAGAGCTCCGATCGGGACGGCATGACATCCGTGAGTGAGCGCTGCGCCGGGCTGGCTGGGCCTTTCACCCCATCTGGTCAAAGAGGGCTCGCCAAATCACGGGAATCGCCTCTTCCTAGTACGAAATGTGTTCGGCGTTTGCTCGTGACGTCGGCCGGTGCAGTCTGGCCGTGCCAAGCTCGAGCAAATAGTGCGCGGGCATACCCATCGCCTTATCGCTAATTTTGTTTTCGCAGCCCGGTGAAGCGTGAACGGCTCCACATGCTTTAAATTGGCAAAGCTGCGCCGGTCCTGGCACTTCAGGTTCAAGACTGCCTAACCAGAGGTGAAACACCATGGTACGTACTAGTCACGGCCAGAGCCGTGCCCGTGGCCTGCAACTATCTTAAAGTAGTCGGAATTCCGACTCCGACGTGCGCTATCAGGTCCGCGCAGTGATTTGAAACGAACCAAGTTGTTACCAATGAGACACAAGGAAGAAAGCGCAAAGAGAACGCAGAGTAGTATGTTGTCTGTAAACATTCTTACGTTAGCAGATGATACACGGCTATTGCAATCTCACCGCAATCTTTGGCAATCGCTAGTCTTTTGGAGAGGCAATAGCAGTAGTATAGGTTACCCCTAGTGACCCGCCGCCATCTTGGTTACCCCTAGTGACCTCTACCCCCCAGTGACCACCCTCCGCCATCTTGGTTCCCCCTAGTGACCCCTGCGGCCTCGGTGACGGCAGCGGTCTCCGACTTAGGTTCGGGGTTAGCTAGCACCCCTTACGAGTGCCCGCATAACCTGGGGGTGACCCGGGGGTGTCCTCCAAGATGGCGGTGGGTGACTTGGGGTGGGGTGACTCGGGGCAGGGGTCACTACGGGGAACCAAGATGGCGGAGGGTGGTCACTGGGGGGGTAGAGGTCACTAGGAGTAACCAAGATGGCGGCGGGTCACTAGGGGTAACCTATACTACTAATAGCGTCATGCCCATTGCCCATTTTGTGCGCCTTGCGTATTTGCGCACGTTCTGAGTCAGATAAGCCAAAAATTATCAGGGATTGTTTCTGAGCGCCTCGCCACAAAAATTTGCGGCATTAGTTTGCCATTCTTCCGGTCTCCTCTTTATCTCTATACCGATCACTTTGTTGTGCTGTGTTGTTGGCTGTGTGTTTTGTTTGTGTTGAGCCATGCCTATTCTCCAGGCGTCCCGCTTCCTCTCCGTCGCCGCTCTGCTGGTGGCCGCCGCCGCGTGCGTGCTGGCCAACACCCAGTCCCCCATCAACATCAAGAGCAGCGAGGCCGTCGACGCCGAGCTGCCCGCGCTGTCCTTCAAGCATTACCGCTCCTCCCAGAGCAGCTACTACCTCGCCAACACCGGCCACGGCTGCCAGATCACCCTCAAGAACTGGCTGTACAACCCCAAGGTGAAGGGCGGTCCCCTGCCCAGGACCTTCGTGCTCGAGCAGGTGCACTTCCACTGGGGCGCCAGCGACGGCGTCGGCAGCGAGCACTACCTCAACGGCAACCCGTGAGTCGCCCGACATGTACTCAAGTGCCTTCCTGGTCCTATGACGGCCCCTCTCTCACATGTACCCTCTCACCCCAACGCAGCTCTTCCATGGAGGTGCACCTCGTTCACTGGAACAGCAAATACGCCAGCTACTCTGAGGCCTCCACCAAGGCCGACGGTCTGGCCGTCATCGGCTTCTTTATCGAGGTGAGTGGACTTACTTATTGCCCGCGCTTCGCTTGCCTTGTACATACTGCTGGGGGTGCGCCGTGCCCGCTCGCTTGTGGGCTTAGTCTGGTTCTGTCCGCAGTGCGCCGACTGCCCCCTGACGGCGAGCAGGAGGCGGCGGTTGCTTTGCTCCGGAGGCCCCGTGATCCCAGGCCTCCGGCCTCCCCTGGGCGACGTGGTGTCCCGCGACCCCGGCGACTTCACGGGGCTGCCGTGGGGGAACTCGGCCCTCCCGAGCATCGCGCTGGCCTTCCGCGGCGCCCGCAGCACCGCCGAGGGCCTGGCGACGACACAGAGTGTTGGGCCGGCCAGCGGCAACCTAACGGCGCCGGGCACCAAAGCTCGGGTGTCTCGAAGTTACCAGACGCCCCGGAGTAGTCCGGTGTCTCGTGGTGGCCGCAGAACTCTTAGCATGGAAGCGACCCGATCCAACTGGACCACCCGCGGTACAGTGGCGTCCAAAGACATTTTTCCGGTGAGGGGCACTAAAGCCCCGACATCTCAAAGCAGCACGAAGTCTCGCGACACCCCGGCGCCCCGCACCGTTCGCAACACGAAGGGACAGGTGCCCCGAGGCAGCCCAAAAGCACGGAGTCCACGGAGTACTCCGGCGTCCTTCGACGTCCTCGGCACCCTCGGCACACAAGCGTCCTTTGGCAACCTGACGACGCGCGACAGCCAGGCGTCTACGGGTACTCCAGCGTACCTTGCTGTCCTGGCGTCCCGCAATACCCCTAAAACCGAGACGCCTTCTGGCAACCGCCCGTCTCGAGGTACTGAGGTGTCCAGTGGCAATCTGACGACACTGAGCACTGAGGCACCCCGGGAAACGCGGGCCACGGATAGCTCCTCGGCATCCCCGGGTTTGCTGCAGGGGCGCTCGGGTCTCCTTGACTTCCTCCTGGGCCACCGGGGCCACAGGGCGCACCGGGGCCACCGGAAGAAGCTAGGCCACGGGGACCGCCCGAGCCTCCTGGGACCCCTGCCGCTGCTGCCGGCCAGCACGGAGCGCCCGGGGCGCCGCCGCCCGCCCTGGCTGCAGCTGCTGTGCAGTGCCGGGGAGCCCACCTGGCTGCGGGTTAGCTCCCTCTTGTCTCAGTACCTGCCCGACATAAACGCCAGGATAAGGTCTAGACTGTTCCCCACGGTGAGTTGGTGCGAGGGTGCGCTGCTCGGGTGACAGCACGGCATGATGCGGAAGGTGGGGGTGTTTCTGCGCAAAGGGGTGGATCGCTTCAACCAACCTCACCTCGCTTTCCTCTCTATTCACACTTTCTTTTGTCCCCAGGGCATTGACAACTACAGGAACCCCGACTTCCAGAAGCTCGTCAACGCCATCCCCAAGATCGTTGCTGAGGACTCCGAGAAGGTTGAGGTTAACGCCGACCTCTTGGCCTGGGTTGTCCCCTACCTGGAGGCGTCCGGCTACTACACCTACGACGGCTCCCTCACCACCTCCCCCTACTCCGAGAACGTCCTGTGGATCGTGTACGAGAACCCCATCCCCATCGGCAAGGCTCAGGTTGGTACACCCTCGTGTAATTCTTTTTATTTTCTTCCGCCAAGTTAAAAGTGTTGCCAAAAATGGGAATGAACAACTGGCGTTTGTCTTCCAGATCGCTCCCTTCAGGGCTATTGAGAACCACGAGAGCGAGCAGTTGACCACCAACTTCCGCCAGCTCCAGAACGCCGACGGTGTCGAGGTGAGGTACGTCGCGTAATTCTACGCACGCGCTCCCGAAACCGTACCTGATCGACAATAAATCGACTTGTTATTCTTTTAAAAAAACAACAACGTGATATTCTTTTATTATCAGCAGTGAAACCACAGCAAAAATAACATCACTACGAGCAGACTTACACACCATACGATTAGAGTTCTTAACACTAGCGACTAGAACACACACACACACACATAATAACGCACAGCCTGAGAAGGACCGGAGTCGATCTGTGGGGAACTTGGACCTATCACAGTCGGGACGAGCTAAGATCATGATTGAGCCGCTCGGCGGGGGCCGCGGCGGCGAGGGAATAAGGCTTGGCCGTGCAGCACAGACTCGCCAAGTAGTGCGATATCTCGTGACCGTCCGCCCTAACGGCGCAGATCTGGAGCGCTCCGCGGGCTCCGCGGCGGCGCCAGGCGGACCCGGCCGAACCCGCTCCCGCCTTCCCGGCGGTGGGACGCGACGCGGACCTTGGGACTCCCGCAATGAGGTTCGCGATGCTACTCGTCGGCGGTTTACGAGCGGTCTCAGCTGATGTCTTTGAGTTTGGCGTCCTTGTCTGCGGCGACCAGCTCGCCGGCCGCGAGCGAGATGGTGGCGAGCGCGGGCAGGCGGCTGACGGGGACGAGCGGCTCCAGCCCCAGCTCGTTCCAGGGCTGCTCCTCGGCCGTGCCGATGAGCAGGAAGAGGGCGTTGGCCACCACGAACACGCCCGCGGCCCCCAGGAACACGATGTGCCACTGCGAGGCGTTCGTCTGGAACGGAGTGTGAAAGATGAGTGGGGGTGGAACAAAATAGTGGGGGTGTCGGGTGTGTCGGTCTGTGCGGGACTCACCGGTTCGGTGACGATGAGCGGGGTGACGATGGGCCCCAGTACGGAGAGCAGGTTGGCCCACAGGTTGGTGAAGCCCATGAGCGCGGGCGCGTGGTTGGGAGACAGGTCGAGGTGGTTGATCTGGAAGCCGAGGTACATGGCGGCCAGCAGCGTCATGGACACCGTCAGCAGCAGCACCGTCAGGAAGGGCGACTGGTCGGCCACGCCCGTGCCGATCACGGCGAGCGTGACGGCGCCTCCCCACTGGGCTGCAGGCAGAGCAGGGCGTTAGTCGCGCCGGATGGGTGGCCTACCTCCGCGGCGCGCCGCTGCCGTCGCCCGGCGCGCTTCGCTTTAGCTCCGCTCAGCTTTGCTCACCGATGGTGTTGGCGATCTTGCGCATGGCGGTGGTGCTCAGGAAGCCGGCCTTGATGAGCGCGTCCGACACGTACGACATGGGCAGCGCGGCGAGCCACATGGCGAAGTAAGGCAGCGCCGACACCGTGCCGTTCTGCGGGGGATGATGGGTGTCAGTCATCATCGCATAGGGGTCGTTCCAATGTACGACGTGACTTTTAAGGGGTCGCAAAAATATTATAGGGTCTCAAAACGATAATGAACATCATTGGAGTCCATAGAGACCTCGTGGTATTTGTACCCTGAGGTACAGATATTATGGGTAGTTCGGGCTTCATCGACGATCCTGGTTCTTTCGGAGTCCCATAATCCGTAATATTTGTACCCCGCTCTAAGGGTCACGTAGTATTGGAACGACCCCATAATCTTGTGGCCCGGTCGGAGCGCACGGGACGGGGAGAGAAAGGGGTGGCCGGGGTTACTCACATCCGCGATAGCGTAACCCTGCACGTTCTTCATGTAGTTGGGCAGCGAGGTGAGCAGGGTCCAGTAGCCGACCATCTGCCCGCAGTGCGCGGCCGTCAGCCCCCAGACGGGCAGCGAGGTGAGGATTCTCCTCCAGGGCGTGGACACCACCTGCCGGGCAAGGGAACAGACGGAAACAGATTAGCGAGCAGCACTATCGGCTCTGGCGGGCGCCATATAACCGGCCAGCTGCCCCGCTGTTGATACGGCCGTCATCGCACGCATTCGCGAATCGCGCCAAATCACTGCGGGGAGGGCCTAAGCCTAAAGTCCGACCTGTCTCAAGGTACACCGCCGCCACCGCCAAGGACGCCGCGGCACGTGCCCCCTTATCGGCGGGGCTGGACTAGACAACGCGGGCGGCTCCTCGAGAAAGTGCAGTGATAACATTGTCGTAACGTCGCTCGAGTATATGTAGTCACATCAGGCGGTATTGCGCTGCGCGCCAGAGCTCGGCGGCGCACAGCCGGGCGGTGTGTTGATACGCGCGAGGGCTTTGGCTATGGCCGCGGAACTCTTGACGGCGTAGTACGGGAGCCGCCGGTCGCCCGCGCCCGCGTCGCCGCAGTTCGCGCGAACTTGACAGAGTGACGCTGCTATGCGCAAGGGCTTTTGCTTACTCGCGGCACGGCCAGAGAACTCTGACGGCGTAAGGAAGGGATCTGCCAGAAAGTACGGCCCGCCATTCGCCGTTACGAACCTAGCCTCCTGTCAGCTCTTAGAGCGCCTGATAGGTAGGCAACACCTCGCCTGCAGTGCAGGCGTGTGCTGCAGGCTGGCCTACCGTGACTCTCGCAGGCGCTGACCTCAAGTGAGTTTGCCGATTGAATCTGAAAAAGCGGACGCACTTTCTGGACGATCCCCGACGGATCCCGAATGGAGGCGGGTCGCCGCGGCCGCCCACCGAGTTCGTCGCGTCACCGCCGTTCGCGCGCACTTGACAGAGTGGTGCTGCTATGCGCGAGGGCTTTTGCTTGCTCGCGGTGCGGCCAGAGAACTCTGGCGGCGTAAAGCTGGGAAGCGGGTCGCCGCGTCGCTGTTTGCGCGAACTTTGCGGAGTGATCATTGCCCGGGTGCCGCGGACGCCATGTTGACGCTGACGCTCACCTTGGTGGCGCTGCTGCTGGCGGCCGTGTGCTTCTCGATGAAGAGGCGCTCCGGCTCCTGGATGCTGTGGTGCACGGCGGGGCCGTCGGCGCCGAGCAGGTACCAGGAGAGGCACCACAGCAGCCCCGTGGAGCCCGCCACGTAGAACACGGAGGGCCAGCCCCACGGCGACCCCGACAGCAGCCCCGTGCACAGCAGGCCGAGCACCGTGCCGAACTGCGCGCCTGGACAGAGAACCGCCCCATCACCGTCGCGTCACACAAGCAGGGGACCGCCAAGGGGTTGTAATTAGGGGGGTCGTTTAACTTAATTCGGAATTCCGTTTGTTTGGTTGAGCAGGGCCCGGGCCGGGTCGGCGCGCGGGCGGGCGCGCGCAATTTTGACTGCTCGAGAGAGTTCAAGGCACCTTGACCGATAAGAGCGGGGAGTGGAGTAGGAGGCGGGAGGGGCGCACGGTAGCAGAGAGAGAGAGAGAGTTTCTGCGATTTGTTATTGAGGGACTCCTTCACCCAGACCCAATAATCCTCACTGGTGTTTGTTAGTGTCTTGCGAAAGAAACAAACACTCGACTCGACATCATAAGTCGATGTGGAAACCGCGCCTCTGATTGCCGAGTAGTAGTGCTAAGCTTTCAGGCTGCCGCCTGTAGTGGGAATGGAATGGGAGTCTGGCTAAAAGCGCAGGGTTGAAGCGCAGTAGGACCTTCTTTGAGGCCTTAAGCCCGAGGAGGGGTGGGCGGAGAGGGTCGTCGAGGCCGGCGACTACTGGCCGGAGGCCGCTAACTACTACATACTGTCCCGCTCCCTAGCGCGTGGGCGGGTTTCTACCAGCTCGGTGCGTGGTGTTGGCAGGAAAAGTCGCCCGCACCCACACGTCTGCGAGCTGCACGGGACTACGACTCGTGTAGAAGAGGTGGCCTTCCCTCCCGTGCCTCTAGCCCAGCCTTGCGAATTTCACATTTCTGAAGCGGTCAGTCAGCCGTGTCTGGTACTCACCCCCGTAGACGAAGGAGCCCAGCCTGGAGCGCTCCAGCGGCGGGACCCACTTGGCGAGCAGCGCGTGCGTGGCCGGGGCCAGCACCCCCTGGAACAGCCCCTGCGCCACGCGCACCGCGCAGGCGTACTGCCAGCCGCCCAGCGTGGCCGCGGCGGGGAGCAGCAGCGAGCCCACGCTGGACAGCATCAGGGACACGCCCAGCACGGCCTTGGCGCCGAACCTCCGCGCGAGCTGTCCCCCCAGCATCGGGGACAGGCAGAAGCCCCACAGGAAGGCCGACAGCACGATGCTCTGCTCCGAGTCATTCCACCCGAGGTCCTGCGCAACACCGTCACGGTCAGCAGGGTCGTTGTTGCTATCGGGCGCCCCCGAACGGGCCGCCGAGCCGCTCCCTCACCCCGGACACTTACCGGGTCGTCCTTCATGGCCACGATGGCCACCGAGATGCACGAGACGAACACGTAGGCCTGCACGAAGGACAGGAAGGACATGAGGGCCTGGACGTGGCGGACGCCGAAGGTCGGCAGCGAGGACGGCGACAGCGACAGCAGGGCCTCGGCGGAGACGCTCGTGGCGGCCACGCCGGCGGGCGGGCGCTCGGCGTCGCTGCAGCTCCTGCTCAGGTTGATGGCCGTCATGGCTCGAGTCGGGTGTCCCGGGGGTGCAAGCAGGGTGCGAGGCGTGGGTGCCGTGGGCGAGGGGTCTGGCCAGGACCTGGCCGGGGCAGAGGCAGACTACTGGCGGCTGCGACCGGTCGCCCGCTTATGTGTGACACTTGAGATAGCGCTCACCAGAGGCGATTGTCATTGCAGGGGGTATCCTCGTGCGGCGTGACGAAGCGAGTAGTTGAGCACTGATTGACGTGTGGGGACGAAAGGTGTGATTTAGCAATTATGCTCGTGGAAATTTGATGCGTATAGGATGTCGCCTCGTGACTCGGAGATTATCGAAAGGTTTCGGAGAAAGGGAAGCTGCTCATCTCTAATTTTGTAGAGTGCTGCTGGACTCGACCTGACAAGTGCTCTCGTCATTTCTGTCTAGTCGGCTTCCGCAATCACAGACCTTTTCGCCCACAATTTGGCAACATTGCAGATCTTCATGCTACAAACATTGAAATTTGGGCAAATTTTCAAAAAGGGAAAACCTTTGTCCATGGGAAAATTTCCGAAGATTCCTGTGGATTGAAGAAATATTTTGTAAGTACGGCTTATCACAATACTACTATGCAATCTCAAGTATAAAATTTCACTTGCGGCAGTAGTGGGCGAAAAGGTCTATCTCTATCTGTATGTTGGCCGTGTTGAAAAGATTTCTGCTCTGCGCCTTACCATCATGAAAATAGATGATTATAGCGTCAAATTTCTTAAGTTTGCAGCATTAGGACTAAATGGACTAAATGTGACAGTCACCCGACTTGGTTCAAACTGAGCTCGGAATGCCGCAATGGAGTGTGAAATGCCAACACTCTCATTGAATCAATTTTCACGTAACATAGCATTTAACGCATACAATCAACATTTATCGATATTTCCTAAATTAAAGTAGTAAGAAATGTTTGCATGTGTATGAGTTATGAAGTTCGTGAAAAGATTTAAAAGTGGATTTTAACCAACCTACATACTTCAGGTTACACATCCCGACAAAAACACAAAGCCGTATCAACTGCACATATAAAATATCTCTAAGCAGAAACTGTTTTATGAGGTTGATATGAAAAGTTCAGTATCTGAACCAAATTCTTTTTGAGAAAAAATCCTCTATCATTTTTTTAAGCCTCCAGTCGATTAAACGTCAGCAACAAGAAGAACACGGTACGGAAACACCGGAGCGGGGATGTTTCTTCAAGTGGTAAGACTGGAGGATAGATGTAAGCGCGCGAATCGCTCTCCACACAAGGGCCAATTTCAACACCCGGTGGGGGTTCTGCTTGGCGATATTTGTTTTCCTCAGGTTTTCCTTGTCTGATGCACTTCTTGTGTGTCCACATGCGTATCTTGTCAACAGTTTCATGCAGAGATTATAATTAACAACAATGACGTGGCTTGTGTATTGCAAGTATGAGTGAGAGTAGCAGATCGTCCAACCTCTCTGAGTCTAAAGACAGGTAGCTTATTATTTTCCCCACCTTGATTCTTTACTTTTTCAATAACGTAGCAAAATTATTTGCTTTTTTATTTTATTTTCCACGTTTTTCTCTCAGTACTAAAAGGCAGTTGTCTTTGATTTCAACATTGTGCGCACTTAACCTCCTAAATGTTTCCCTGTTATGTATGACAGCTGGACTGACAACTTTCCACCTCTATTTTCTGTGGTGTGTGTGAGGAATCGAGACGCTCCCAGAAGTTTGTCACTGGATACCTGTTTCATTGGACGCATTTTATACTACAGCAGTATGTGAATCAAGCATCTGAAGTACTAGTTCACCCAAATGTCGGAATCCTTATTCAAAGCATTCCTGTTACAGAGGTTAATGACACCGAGCTTTGCCACATCAATTTATTTTTGAGACCTGATCTCTTTCCTCTCAATGTTGACGTAGGCCATCGCACCTTAGATAGATATAGAGAAGTAGTTTTTGATTATCGAGGATGTATTGGCAAATTTAGTGTTGATGACATCATTACTGAGTGTGTGGTATGTATTCTAGTGGTTCTACTCGATGTGTAACTCCTGTCATATCCTAATCTACGTAATTTTTGCACAGATTTTCCCAGGAGATTTTGACTGTAGTGTGGAATCTGCTATTCAAAAGTGCAAATCAGAGATACAGACAAATAAACCTATCTTTGTAGTCCGTTCCCATTTGTCGGAAAGTAACAAAATTCAACCACTACGGGCCTCTACCAGAAAGAGAATGGCTGCTGGAAACATGGATGTCTTGTCAGAGAAAGGTGTAAATACAAAAGGGAAAGAACAGTTAGCCTCTAAAGATTTGAAGAGCCCCAAGCAAGTTTCTAGAAGGAGAATAACTGTTCAAGAATCAGAAAATAATGGTGTAGAAGATGCAAAAGAGAACATTGGCATGTCTGATTCGACCTTCCAGAGTTCCCTCACCTCACCACCACCTTCAGGATCCTCCTCAAATCCTGAGAGGGTATCCCGTGTGAGGAGGAGTCTTGTCTCTGATCTTGATGGTCCTCCAGTTAAACAATCCCGTGGTGAAACAGAAGATAAATCATCCTTTGACAATACAAAGACAAGGCTTCATTGCAAGATCAAAGATGATATGGATGAGGAGGATCCTGTGGATGACAAGAGCAAGGTAAGGAATATACCTAATAATGTAATGTAGCTTCCTTCTCAGTGAGAAATTTTCCATTATGTGTTCCAATGTAAAGTAAGTTGTGAGTATATGCTGCTACAACACTGATTAAAAATTGGCATAACTGCCTCAATCATTAACCATCAGATTTCATGGGTTTCGGAGTTGCTGGATGTAAGTGAACCAGTTGTTGAAAATGGTGGACGATGTGTTACACCTATAAGGTTGAGTCTAAGGCGAGTGTGGCTGGATTCTACTCCGAGCAAGGTACCTAAATATGCTATGGAAGTCTAATGGTTGTCTGGTGGTAATAGTTTATGTTGCTGTTGTGATTTAGCATTTTTGCCTTGGTGTCAACTGGGAGCCTTTACAGCTAGCGGTTCATGATATCTCACTGCTATTGTAAATTTGGTTATTTTTAACTGTTGCTTAATGGAAGAATGTAAAGTTTGCCCTTCTTGTTCGTGCATCTTAAACTGGTTCTTGGTTGTTGTTGTGTTTTTTTTTTTCAATTTGTTTATTTTCAGCTTTATTTTTGTATATTTTTATGAGGGCTTTGGGAGTTGGATTCTGTTGCGTTTTTGCCCTTTGTCTTTTAATACCAACAATAGTTGTTGCTTCAATTTAATATTTTTCTTTGATTTTTGATCAGAGTACTTCAAGGAGTAGTCCCTCTCCTGAAAAAGTTCGTCGGTCTACCAGAAAGAATAAATGTAATGTGTATCTGGCAGAAAATTTGGATTCAGATTCTGAATTTGATCCTGGACTTCGCCAGTCTGCAGGGAAGAACAAATGCACCGTACATCTGTCTGAAAATTATGATTCTGAGTCTGGAACTCGACCTCGTAGCACCAAGAAAACTGATAAAAAATCAGTGGTTGAGAAACCAAGTAGTAGTCGACTTACACCCAAAAGGAGAAAAGTCCCAAATGAGGAAGATGATGTCGACATAATATCCGTAGAAGATGATCCTATATTTTTGCCCAGTAGTCAAGATGACAAAGCCAAAACTAGGACTCCTAGGGCACAAAGAACATCTACAAGAACTCCACGAAAATCATACAAGGAACAAGAGGATTCAGATTTCTGCCTGTCCCCTGAATTTTTGCCTTCAAAACACAAATTGAAGACTGATGATTCTCCAGCCAGAAGCAGAACGTCTCGATCTCAGAGAACTCCATCTAGATACTGCGAACTAGATTCATCTCCTGACAAAAACAGTTCTGCAAAAGCTCCAAAAACTCCAAATCAGACTGGAAAAACCCCGAAGAAAACACCAAAGGCATCTTCTAAAACACCATCTAAGTCTCCAAAAACCCCTAAGGCTAAGACACCTTCTGAAGCTTCATCAAAAGTAATTTATCCAATCTAACTTTACTTCCATTTGTAATCTGTACACATACCTAATGTCCTTCTGGTATCTATATATTGTTGTAGGGGTGTTATACACCATCGATGCCTATCCGTGCTTCTGCACCTCTCACACCAATGTCAAGTCTTGAACAAGTTCGCAAGAATTTGCATGTGTCAGCAGTACCCATGTCTCTACCTTGTCGAGAAGCGGAGTATAGAAATATTTACCATTTCCTTGAAAATAAAATAAGAGACAACACTGGCGGGTAAGTTCTTTGGTGATGAAGTCTATATTTATTATCAGTAAATGACAAAGCAATGTTAGTTGAACAAATCATGCCTTTTCAGAGATTACCTGAAGATAACCATGGTTTATTTTTGATTGGCAGGTGTATGTACATAAGTGGTGTGCCTGGCACTGGTAAGACGGCCACAGTTAATGCAGTTGTTCGTTCTCTCAAACGAGAGGTGGAGCAAAAGAAGTTGAGGGACTTTCAGGTAGTTATAGGCATGAGATTATTGCAAAACCAACTAAAAATTGACAGCTACTGTATCATGCTATCAATCAATTTATATTTCAGTATATTGAGGTGAATGGCCTGCGCATGACAGAGCCTCGTCAGGTATTTGTCCAGGTCCTCAAGAGTCTCACTGGTCAAAAGTCTACTCCGCAACAAGCCCAGGATATTCTTGCTCAAAGATTTTGTTCAGGTTCATCAAAGAATAAAACAGTAGTTCTGCTAGTTGATGAAGTAAGATCATTTTTCTTTGCTTTTCAGTTCAGACTTGAGTTTGTACAATTAGCTAGTTCTGATCTGAACTGTGCATTTGTGATGTTTGTTTGCTCCAGGTTGACATGCTTAGAAATCGTCGTCAAGATGTCATTTATAATTTGTTTGATTGGCCTAGTAAAGCTAATTCACATTTTATTGTGTTAACAATTGCCAACACAATGGATCTACCTGAAAGACTCTTGAAAGGACGAGTAACAAGCAGGCTTGTGAGTTAATCCTTTTTTGCAATTAAATTAACTATTTTGTTTTACCCATCCCATACATACCCTATACTTGACTCTTAAGTTGAATTTCTTTTGAATTTCAGGGTCTTACTCGTCTCACTTTCCAACCATACTCTTACAAGCAGCTCCAAGAAATAGTAATGTCTCGGATCGCAGGATCAAACTCTTTTAATGATGATGCAGTGGAGCTTGTGGCAAGGTACAGTAAATGTGAAATGACATGTGGTATAATTGTTGATTCTACTCAGTAAAAGCCAACCGCATTTGTTTTAAAATCTGCTTATTTTTCTTGCAGGAAAGTTGCTGCCTGTTCTGGTGATGTTAGAAGAGCCCTTGATATTTGTAGGAGAGCTTCTGAGTTTGTTGAAGAAGGCAGTCCAGTTACCATGCCTATTATCAATAAAGTGCTATCTAATATGATGAATTCAGCTAATGTCTGCTCCATTAAGTAAGGGCTTTTATTTCTTCTAACTTTTAGTCCCATGGAATGTTGTTTCTAATGCCTGTCAAATTTCAGGGCATGCAGTAAATTAGAGAAATTATTCCTTCAAGCTGTGGTGGCAGAGAATGAACGCACAGGTGTGGAGGAAGCCACATTTATTTCTGTGTATAGGCAGTTTCAATCTTTATGTGCTCTGGCAGGTAAATGAAATAAAGTAGCATGCATTACAGATAGCTACCTGTATATGCTTGTTGCAAATAAATTGAAGATTAATTGAATTGGTGATTTCAAAATTGTAGGTGCTATTGTGATTAACATATCAGAAGCCATGGCACTACTGAATAGATTGGGTACATCTGGACTTCTACTTATTGAGCATTCTAGGGCTGACATTAATCAAAGTGTAAGTATGAAATAGATTTAAAACTTTTACAACCATCTGTCAGTTTAAGTTAATGTCAAAGAATTCAAATTGCTAATCCTTCCTGCAGATATTTCTGAATGTGAATGCTGATGATATCCATTATGCACTTAGTCAAACTTCATCAACATGATGGTTTTATGTAGGTATTTTTAATAATTAACTGTTTTGATTGCACTATATTTCTGGGGCAGAGAACTTTTTATCTGTGCAATGTTGGTGGGAATTGTAGATAAATTGATGTTTTACTTGTCTGACTTTATTGATACACATCTTTAAATCATCATTAAATGAATTTGTTTCCAATCAGTATAAATATTCCTGCGTATTTTTTTTATTTTCATATTTCCATCAGTACATCTTCTTTAGCCAGAAACTCTTGTGTGTGTTTTTCTG